ATTTTTTAAAATAAAACATGATCTCCCAGGGAACTCCTGGTGACCTCTCACGGAACCCTAGGGTTCCACAGAACCCTAGTTGAGAAACCCTGACATAGTTGTTAAATAAAATGTATATACTTGTATACCTATAATTAAAAATTAACTTGCCCCCAAACAATGCTTAAAGTGAATTTTCAAGCTATTTACTGTATCATTTTATTCAGACATTATCTATCGTTCTAATAAAATATATGCTGACCAAATAATGTTTTATCATTGCACTTGGTTCTCTGCTTCTTTTAAAGGAGGTAGAACCAGTATAGTTGTATTTTATAAAATAAAAATGCATTATTCTTAAGTATAGCACACACTGTTCCTAGCTAGATGTGCTAAGTTGGCTTCTTAAAGTTAGGGGATATTGTCTATTTTTCTGTATCAAATCTACTTCAAAGGAAGTCTGTTTTTTCACAGGTAAACAGACTGGAGATTCTGTAAAAATGCTGACAAATTTTTGATTCTAACCTCTGACCTTTCCCAATATTCTTTCAAATGCACTCTCAAATTAAGTTTGCTAAATGCGTCCCCCTCCAAAAAAGGCATGTTTTAATTTCTCCCATCCCAAGCTCATTAGGGTTTTTTTTAAAAAAGATAGATGTGTAAAGCTAAGGTGCTCCAAATAGTTACAATTCTTCCAAGTAACACTTTTAATAGAAAATATCCTTTTAAGTAATCTTGTTACCTCACTTCCCCTCACAGAAGAAGATCTAAAGAGGCAAAGTTCCTATTATCCTAATACTTTAAGAGATTTTCACTGAAGGGCTTCAGTAACAGAAGAGCCAGCCTATCCAGAACCCCTCATCATTCTGACTGATGGCCCTTTTCTAGTTTTTTATTGTTTCATTGCTTCTCCAAAGCAGTTGTTTAGTTTTGTGAAGACCATGTGATCCTTTTGTAGTATGCATTAGGGACAGCTATTTAGATGTCAAACTTATCTGGATGTTTTCGCTAAATCAATTGGAAGAACAATTGCTCCAGGCAGATAACAACTATAAATTCGGTTAGGAACCATAAAGACTTGAATTATTTTGTTACATATACAGGTTTCACATAGGAGTATTACTATTGAAATTCCAGGTTTGTAGTTTTGATTTGTCTTGGGGGATAGTAATTTCCCTGCAGAGTATTTTGGGAATTTCTATGCCTTTTTTTTTTTTAATAGAATCAACATGAGATCTACTTTTATTGAAGACCCTGTTATACATCTTTCTGCCAGGCATAGCAAGAACAAACACAATCAACTGCAATTATAAATGGCAAAACTGAACCATCTGAATATGGCATTTCTGTCCACACATGCAGTTATTAAAAGTTTTTAGACATTTCCCAGCTTACATATGCTAAAATTGTGCACCTGCCTTGTTATCTACTATTTGGTCCCAACATACAGCTTTAAACTGTACTTATTTTGGAAGGTTAATTCACATGGACTCTTATATTTAACAGTTTCATGGGGTTGTTTCTTTGGGACGAAAGGAGTTTCTCAAGAGTTTTTTTTCTCTGCTCTCCGTGAAAAGAGGAGAGCAAAGCCATCCGCTTACCACAAAGCAGTCCCACCACAAAGGAAAGATTAAGGGTTTAGGGAGAGGTCAATGTGGGTTTTTCTCTAACTAAACACTTTCCTAAAGTTTCCTTGTGGAAAAATAATGAAGTCATCTAAGAGTTTTTAAAGAATTTTTATTTCTTTTTCACCGTCTGCATTCGCTTGTCTTCTCAGCATGGATGTTTAATCTTTCTAGGCTTTGTGAATTGGCCCAAATGAATAAATGGTGAGCCGTCTCTCTAGGAGCTAGCGGCTTATTCTAAGGCCCTAATCACTGAGTAAACACATCTTTGCCCTCCCTCTCTTACAACTGCTATATAATAGTGGAGATTCTAGCACAGTAACCTGGATATTGCAGGGATCCACGCTTTGAAATGCAGAATGGCTGATCCTCCAAAACAGACAGTGCCTGATCTTCTCCTGCCTCTTTCTTCTTTTTTAAATTAAATATCACCACAGAGATGCTGTTTTATTGCCTGATATTGTGCATTAGTGCCCTGGATTTTCAAGTTTAGTTTCAGTCAACATTGTTGGCTGCACTTATATGGAACTGTGCATGTTAGGCTTATTGGTGGCCTTTTCTGTAGTATGTATACTTAGTTTTGAATCACTTTTTAAATTAAAGAAGACAAACATTAATGCAATGTCTAATCCCTTTTCCAAAGTCTACTGTTCAAATGATTCCATACTTTATAAAATAGATCTTAGAATTTTCCCAAACTCTGTTTTCTTACACTGACTTAAAATAAATCATTTGTTACAAACTAACTCTTCCATTTAGCACATTTATCTGTAACTGGCATTTTTAGATAAAGATGGCCATAACTTGGCTATGATTCATAGAACTATTTTCTGTGAACAGTTGGACATGCCTAGTGCCAATTTTTCCAATAACCCATTACATGCTTTTTCTCAGCATGCCATATTACAAACTATTTTTCAAATTCAACTCAATTTCAAAAGTAGTTTACCATGGGCATTGTTGTTTGAGAATTTTTTAATGAAAAGTTGATTACATGTCTATGACAAAGAGACATGGTAATAAACTGGAGAATTTCATATACGGGAGTGGGTTTATTGAGAAGGAACAAATTTTTCTTCTACCAGATATGTTGTTTCTGTGCTGGTCACAGCAAAAAAAGCTTCCTCTTTTTCACAGATCTTTGAGCCTGATTAAAATAATGAATGATCTAGGCATTTCCTGGAACTTCCTTGGTATAAGGTACACTGTCTTCTCTCACAAAAAGTTCTGGCTGTGGAAATTGAAAGTTAGAATGGTTAAAGAAAAAATGGGAAGGCTAGTAATTTATGTGGACTTATATTTTAATTTTTGTAAGTTTTCTTCAGCAGCTGATATACTGGGAATTAAACTGTACTTAATTTTATTTTTTTTATTTTTTTATTTAGTGGTACACATGTAGGTCTTTATTTCTACAGCATTAACCTCCTGAAAAAAGAAAACATACTCCGTCTAACATTTTCCTTGAGCTTATTTCCTGACATTATTTGATGTTAGAATTGTTTTAGGACTAGTGTATTCTTTTCATATTAGATATTTTATTTTTCAGTGTAATTTAGAATTCAGCAAATCTGACTGTTAACTATCCTCTCTAGGATTTTATGTAAAATATACTATTTATTAGTAATTGATTATGTTTAGTGTAAATTAATTATAATTATACAACCATAGAAAGTTATGAGATAAAAACATTGAATTTAATCAACCGGGAAACAAATATAAGATTAGGATTAGTAGGAATGCTGTTTCCATAGAGCTATGACAAAGATGCATATGGTTGGTGAATATGACAAAAATTTGATTAAAAGGTTACATTATATGTAGATTATGGTACACATGGTTAGAATTAAGTAGAATTGTACATTATGTGAAATAAAAGGCTGCCACTGACTACAGCATCCCTTTGTTGAGTTCTTCTCCTTCCTTAAAGGCTGGTAAAATTATGCCTTGATATCACTATATTAAAGTCAGCCAATACCCTTGCAGTAAATGTGATTAGCAGTCAATATACTAATAATCATAAGGAAATATAACCATATGTTTTCATATTGCGATACAAACAAAAAATTTATTAATATAAAAAAAATCTAAAGTTCTACAAATAGTCTACATTTAGTCTACTTTCTCATTAACTCCACTAAGAATAACTGTTTTGTGGTAGCTCTGCCTATACCAGTGTTTCTGAATCTCAGCAGCTTTAAGACATGTAGACTTCAACTTTTAGAATTCCCCAGCCAGCGTAAGTTGAGGACCACGTGTCTTAAAGTTGATAAGATTGAGAAACCCTGGTCTCTACCAGCTTTCTCCAACCTTATTCCTTAGTCTTCAGCTGCCAGAACCTGTAGGCAGCAGGCAATGACTATAACTCTGCTGAAGGAAAATTATATTGGGTAAGGATGGTCTATATATGAAGGCTGAGATGCTGTGAACTATGGTCTACTGAAATTCAAAGAAATACTTGTAAGACATGAATTACATTTATATTGTGGAAATTATAATTAATTTCCATCTTTATGCTAATGTTGTTTTTCTGTTTTACAGAGGAAGCTTCTTGCTGTCTACCTCCACCAGGATGAAAGTGTGCTGACTAATGTATTTTGCTCTCAAATGCTTTGTGCTGAATCTATTGTTTCCTATCTTAGTCAGAACTTTATAACGTGGGCATGGGATATGACAAAAGAAGCAAATCGAGCAAGGTTAGTTGTTTTGAAGTTTGAAATAAATGATTTTTAGATTCCAAGAAATTTGGTGTATGTGCTGTAGGATGAAACTAAATCCTGTGCAAGCAGAATTCTGCTTTCAGGACAAGAATATTTTCTTTCTCAATGCAACCCCACTACCTCCTTCATAGTTTTCCAGAATGTCTTCCAACTTTATAGAACAGATCTGAATGTATATGAGGATGGGGGAGGAAAAGAAATTAATTGAGTGGAAAAGAGGAATAATTTCATGAGATTTCAAATGTACCCTAAAATCTTTTTAAATAGACTTTCAAGCAATAGGTCAACTTTTTTGAGTTCTAACACGTTTTATAATATAGTCAGGCCCACTTTTTCCTTTTTTAAAAACAATTCTTATGATTATTTAAGTTTGAAGTTATTCTAATAATTCCCTTTATGTATTCATACTTTTCTTTTGTTAATTTAGCACAGGGTTTTTTTTAATGGTCTACTTTTGAGGTAGTATTTATATTTGTCCTGTATTGTACAATAAATTATTTTCAAGCAGTGAGCTCTCAGAATACAGCATCCCATGTCAATCTCTTTCCTCTTCTGTTTTTCCACCATTCTTCCAGACCAATGTTTTCCATCACTCAGCAGGAACTAGCAGATGGGAAAACAGGGGAAATTAAGGGACTTGTGAAAGAAATGGGAGTATCCTGGATGCAATCTCTCTTGGTGCCATAGAACTTTTAAGAAGTATAATCAGCATCTATATTCAGAAAATGAGTTCACAGATGGTTTAGAGGAGAGAAGTATAACAGCTTCCTGTGGAAGTGAGTGTAGTGATCCATAACATTGTAATATGGGGACTTAGTGAAGAAAGGACTTGCAAAATTTTGGCTAGAGGTACATCTGTCGGATGGATGGAAGTCATTGCCTCTTCATTCACCCTAAGGAGATATGTGGGTTCTCTGGTAACATAGATATGCAAGTTTATTACAACAAAACTTTAGGTCTACAACCATTCATGCACCAGTGATTAACTATTAATAGTTTATAATACACAAATAGTTTAATGAATATAGCAAGTGAAATTTAGCTTCATCAAGTTTTTTTGGCATTAAAATTAATTTAACTTGATCCATTTGACTTTCAACAAATAATAAAATTTCATATAAATATAATTTTAATACTCCCATAAGATGATACAGAGACCTTTCATTGTATATAAAACCTCCCTTGGCAGTTCTTTCTTTCAAGACTTCCACCGTAATATATGAAATATGCACATTGCATCATTCATCATAATATTATTTAATAATATTGCCTGAACTGTGATTTTATATATGTATAATTGTGTTTATGATTAGTAGACTGTTTTTATTCACTTAAAAGATTCATTTCATATTGTCATTGATAACTGTAACTTAATATATGCTGTGTGGGTTAAAAAGATGTTTGCACCTTCCCATTAAAGTCTTTATTTTCATTTCAGCCCTTTCTACAAAGTAATGAACTTTCCAAATTAATATTAAAATATGCAGTGTTCCTGCATAATAGCTCACAAACTTACACATTTTAACTTTAATTTTGGTTGAGATTAAATGGCAGAGTAAACTTATGCTTTGATTTGTTTTTATTATCATTAAATGTAGTCTCAGAAGCAGTTATGAATGGAGCAACTATGCTTTTTTTCAATGGAACAAAATATGTGGACAGGAGATTGGATTAATCTTATACTATTGCCATTTACAAGGAATGAGAAGTCCCCTCCTTTCCTTTCATCCCACAACTTGCTGTCGAAGGAAACCCTATTTCTAAACCATCTGCAGTGGCTAAGTTCAGTTGATGACCTGCTGTTATATTGTTCTAGTCTCTTTTTAATTCTCTGGTTTCTTTTATTTTGCAATGGCAAAAAATTGTGGTGTACTCTCTTCTAAAAAACTATGTCTGAGGGAGTTTTTTTTTTTTTGTGACTGACAATCAGCAGCATGTCAGGGCTTTGTTGTGTTTTACTTAAGGTCTATTAAGTAGCACAACTTTGATACACTAGTTATAAGAGTTTACAGGTTACAGCGATACCTGTGGTGACCAAAGCAACAGAAGCTGCTTAGTAGAAAGAGTTTGTACAGCTGGGTCTTATTAACTCCTTATGACACTTTTAGAAATACCAAATAAAGGGCTTGCTTGTGGCTGTATAGCTATTTTCAGCAGGTCTAGAACCCTGATTGAAAAGTACAGTAAGATGCTTAACTCTACTTTTTTTGGTCTTACTATCATGTAAGAGAATAAACAACTGTTGTAAATAAAATATATTTAATTTTTAATTTATATGTAATAATGAGATTACCTTTTTGTTACGGAGCTTTCAAGTGGCTTAGGGAAGAATGGCTGGCTGTGGACAATAATACTTTATCACAAAAAATATGAAAGATACATCAGTATAAATCTGATATTTAAACTGGTATGTTTAAATCTACAAAATTTCAGCTAAGTTAGTGGGCTTGACTTTTTTATGTGGAATAGTTTGGAAAGAAGAAATGGGACAAACTTCCTTTCCACAAACTTCCTCCAATTCACTTATCTTAGGTTTGAAGCCACTGTATTGGATAAGAGGTAATAAAAGCTGAACCCTGACTGTATGGTGATCATTGATTCCAAGGTCCAGAAAATAAGTAATCAACCTGTCTTGAATGAGGTTGAATCTATCTGAAAGATCAGGAATAAAAGTTCCCCTAGACTCATTGTTGCCATTCAAAGCTATAGCGGCCATACTAGCTCAGACTGCTTTTGCCAGGCTTTCTGGCCTTGAAGGTTCTGACAGTTCCTAAACTAGAAGTAGCCTAGTCCACATTTACATATTTTTAAAATAAAATATCTTCTTAGTCCATGTACTATCAATTTCCCCTAGGATAGTGAAACCAATGCTACATGTTTTGAAGATGATTCTGAAATTGAATGCCATCTAGATCAGTCAAGATCAGTTAGGTGCTCATATACCTGCCCAGATATTAAGATCTGCTGAAGAGTCTGTCCTTTACATCCTGTTGTTGAGAGCTGGAAATTACATGAGGTCTCAAGAGAGAGCCTTCCCACCCATAGTTTGGAATGTCTTTCTACTGGAGGCTGAGCTGTCCCTTTAACTGCTTTCACTTCAGAACCAATTTCAGACTCAAAACACGTACATTATTGTTGCTGCATTTTTTATTGGTTCATTAGTTCTGTTGATGATTATAATAGTTAACTGGTGTTTTTTAAAATGTTTTATATTGATTTGTATTCTTCTCTGAATAACTGAATAAAACTCACATCAATCAAGACCTTCCTGTTCATCCAGGCCTTTTGTATTTGATTGGTCGCAGGTTAGTGTAAGATTAGGTTATTGCTTTTAAACAGGGTTTTTTTTAATCACTCAGTCACATTATGAATGAAAGGGGAAGATACACATTTAGTGATAAATAACAAGTGTAAGTCTCTTAAGGGGTCCTTGTATCTGTTGGATATTGTTATTAGTTATTAGTATTGTTATAAGTATTATTAACATTATTAATATTAATACTATTTGTCTATTAGTAAGCAATATTAAGTTTGCAGTACAGTCTTCTAAAAAAGGGTTAGGTGACTCAGGAGCAGCTGTCACTGTTTCCCTTCCCCTTTGCGCCCTCTTGATCTGCCTGGTATATATGCATATGTATCAAATGAGCGATATACATGAAACAATTATTCGTATTTTGAATGATAACAAATGTCATCAGTGTGGTAGGTAATCTTATTCCTTTGCTTAAAATGTATTGTTGCAAAATTAATGTTCTTTTATTGATAAATGCGTTGTAGGAATTTGATCTTACAGTTGTAAGACATAATCTATGTCTGTCGCCTCCAGCCAACTTTCTAGTAATAGATCCCTACGAATTGTTTCCAGTGATATCAGTGAATTCAAAATAGATTTCCCCTTTTTTAAATGTGTAAAACATTGAGATGGAAACTCAAAACTCATGGCTATTGGAATATTTGAAATTATAGCTAGACTTGCATAGATCATTTTCAAACTAACTTGAGACCTTAACATCTTCAATATTCAAATATGGTCTGGTAGGATGGCATCATTCTATGTTGCACTTCTACATTTATTTCAATAAAGGTTTGTACTCCTTAATATATGTAAGCATAAAGAAATATTGTGCATAGTATGACCAGGTACATAAAGGCATAGCTGGAGAGAGCTCAAGCAAAAACATTTTAGATCTCAATTAACAAAGATATAGAACCAACACTTCGCATCTCCACTATAATGAGCTCACACAACCTCCCCTTACTATTCCTAAATATTTTTATAATATATTATTTCCATCTAATAGGATGGCCTTCACATTGGCCCATCTAGATATGTCCCCTCAGTGGAACTGTTGGGCAGATTCAATACTATTCCTTATCAAGAGCATGTATGTATGTGCTCAGACTCTGAAATTGAAATAGTAGCATACATGCTTCTGAATTGCCCTATATATCATCTCCCTTCTTACTATAAACTATCCAGATCTCTCTCAAATAGCAATCATGCACTACCTACTAGATGACCAGATGGGGAAGTTCTAAAATATAGCAATGACAATTAGAAGTTTCTGGACTTGATCACTCTCCCAGGTGCGCTTACTCAGGCATGAATAGGTATTTAATGAAAATCTCTTACTTTTTTTTTTTTTTGCTTTTGTGTTGTTTTGTATGTATGTATTTGATCTATGACTGTATATTTTAATAAACTGAAACTGAAAGGCACAGCTGTTTTAAGAAGTCACAGGCAGAGGGAGACATTTATTGTCATGTTTAACTGCTTGTTTATCTGCTCAATATAACTGCTGTACAAGGTGTTTTTTTTTTGTATATTAGGCTTATATTCCATTTGTTCTCTAAAAAGCTCAAGACAATATAAATGGAATTACCCTTCACTTTATCCTCATAATAGTAACCCTTTGAGGTAAATTGGGCTTACCAGTGAGCTGTATGATCAAGTAGGAAATTAAATCTGGATCTTC